AGAGTTGGTGACTTCTTTTTATCCTCAAGCCTCCTGTGTTTCTGTGATTCTCTGCTTGGAAAGCATATGTTAATAAAGTACATGGCAGGAGCTTTTTTTTTATTACTATTATTTTTGTTAGAAGCCTTTCACACTGAATGTTTTGTAAATTGGCTGGGGGGTGGCAAGGAACCCAGATAGTGCCTAATCCCCCAGCCCATCCTCTCAGCAAATGGTTTGTGAAAGTCATTAATTTCACTGTAATTGATTTAAACCTTGCTCAGGAGGAGGAAAAAATTAAGGAAACCAATGCCACACTGAATAGAGAATTATGTGTTCTCAATTTTCTGTCGAATTATCTCCACACGTGCCCGTTCTGTGCTGGCTGCTGAGCAAACACTGTGCCAGGGAGTCCCACAGCAAATACCAGCTCACAGAACCTGTGAGGAGCTGCAGCAGCAGGGCAGGAGGCAGGAGAGCCTGCAAAGGTCTTTGCTTCCAGCAATTCACATCTGCTTGGGAGGCTCCACCAACAAAACATGGGCACACGAGGCTCTGGAAAGTGGCCATGGAAAAGGACAGAGCTGGACCTGCTGCCAGCCTCCTTGAAATGGCAGTGCCTGTGGTGGAACAGGGCTTTCTATGAGGCAGCCACCCGTTCCCCTTGCATTACCTCACTGCTACTACTGTTACCCCCAGCTGTAAAGTAGTTTTAATTAAAATTATTTATTGCTCGGTAAGATTTGTCCCCTATTTTGGGTGTATCTTAGAAGATAACATTTTTCCCTTATCACTTCATCACTGGGCTTACACTTCAAAGGACTGTACCCATGGATGTCACTGTGATCAGAATAGACTATGTGGATTTTAGCTGAGCAGTGACGTACAATCAATGTATTTTTAAGCTGAGCTTAGCTTTATTTTGCATTTTTATTTATACCTCTGACAACTGAATGAGTGCCCTGGCTCCAAGCCATATCTCTCAATAATAATGATCTTTTTTTTCAGATTCTTGGGATATGGCTTCTCCACTGTATTGTGCATGTTCTCTTGACATCTTAATGCGGTTTCTGGGTCACTGAGCTAAGAAAAGACTATAGGTGCCACTAAAGCCTCCTTAAAGGAGAACCAGCCACAGGCAGGGCCAGGTTTATGGTACTTAGAGAAATCAATTATTGTCATGCACTGCCTTCACGCTGTGCCAGCTCAGTTAAAGATGAAGCAGTTCTGTCAGGTTTCACTCCATCTGCAGGACTTCTCATGCTCCTGCCCTTGGACCACCTGTGGTGAATGGATGTTGCTCCTGGATCCATCAGTTGTTGCAGGTCTGTGCTGGACAGATGTTGGGCAGGGGGTAACTCAGTGTTTCAGGTTCCTTTGAAGGCTGAGGGGTGAAAGCAGAAGCACTGGGAAGTGAAGGTGTCTCAGTGTGCAGGTGAGGGTCAGTCTTGCCTTTGCCAGCCTGGAGAAACTGCTTCACTCCCACGAGAGAACTCATCTGAAGGGAGCTGCCAGGGAGGGAGGGTGTGTGTGTCCCCAGGAGCCCGAGGAGCTCCTCTCCCCAGTGCCACTGCTGGAGCTGGCTGTGCCCTAGAGATCAGGACAGCTGCAGTGCTGCCCTGCTTGTCTTGGTGGATCCATATCCTGGGAGGGAAGCTCAACCCCTCTGAACTGGGGCTGGGGTTCTCCTGTGTGGCTACAGCATTGATGAAAAAAACCTGTAAGCTAACTTCAGCAAACTATTCCATGAGCACTCAGAGATGTTTGAAGGACTCTGTTACTTAATATGCTGCAAGTGCCCCAAAGAGAAGGTGCAGGATCGGGGCTGGGAGTGGTTCTGGTAGCCCCAGTCCCTCACTCTCTTCTGCCCTGTGTGGAGCAGTCATCCATGGGCTGGGTGGAACAGTGAGAAACTGAGCTCTGGCCAAGCAAAACACAGAAAAAATACTCAGTGTGATTCTTCTTCCTGCTCTCTTATCCTTCTTTTTCTCAGTTCACCTCTGCAGCCTGCCTGTGCCAAAGGACTGCTGCTGCCAGCAGGAGCGGCTGGAAGTCATTCTCTGGGGAAAGGGAGTGGAGCCTGGTGTCAAGCACCTGCAAAAATTAATACTTATCCTTTCTGCCAAGAGATTAGGCTGAACACTTGGCACCTGCCAGATTCAGCAGAGCAATGGCTGGTGATGGATGGACACCTGCTTGTCTTCAGAGAGAGGCTGTGGGGCAGGGAGCAGGGGCCAGGCTCCCCACTCCTGGGGCAGTGGGACACTCCAGTGTCCTCCAGGAGACAAAGCCACTTGTGAGAGTGACAGACACAGTGCACACACAGCTCCCTCTGGCATCCAGAAACATTCCTTACTGAGGTGCAGAAGTACTTTTGATTTATATTTTATTCCACACTCTCAGGAGTTGAAACTGAGCCTCAGGCGCTGTTGTTGCCTGCACTCACTGCCCCAAGGCAGGTGGCAGCATCCCAAAGGAGCTGCACGGGCATGGACACAGGCAGTGTGGCTGGTGACAGTGTGGCTCAGTGTGGCTGGTGGCAGGCAGTGTGGCTGGTGACAGTGGCAGGAGGACAGAAGGCAGCTCTCTGCAGCGCAGGGCCTTGGAGATATTTTTCTGAGCCAAAATCTGTCTCTTGCCTCTTTCAGTGGTTCCCAGAGTGTCAGTAGCTTTGTGTCCTTGCTCCTGGTGGCTGTCCTCTCTGCCTGGGGGTGCTGGCCCACACCACCTCAGGGATGCTTCCTGCAGACAATGCTGTGCTCCTGTTTTCCTGAGCATTTCAGCTCCCTCCGTTCCAAAAGTCTGCACAGTGCAACCAGGGATGTGTGTGGGTAAAGGCAGATGGTTCCCCTCAGTGCTGTGGGGAGTCCCAGGTTTCAGGACTTGCCTGTGGCACAGGTGGCACTTTGTGGGTGGTGTTGGAGGTGCCAGTGCTCCGTGGCCACAGCTGGATAGGCTGGGTGAGCAGTGACGGGCTGTGCCAGGAAAGCACAGGGGCCAGGTTGTGTTCAGGAGCTGATGGCCTGTGCAGGCTGCAAGATTGGGCTGTCAGTGTCACCATATAATCCATGATGGTGATTACTCTGCCTGGGGAAGGGGAGCTCACAGCTCCTTTCCCATCTGCACCCCTGCTTTTTGTGGGAGTGCTCTGCTTTCAGGAGCTACAGCCTGTGCTAGCATGCACCCTGCTCTTACCTGGTGTCTTTTCAGCCACTATTCAGCCATGATTATTTAAACCCTGAGGTGAAAAATTACCAGCTCCTTTGTCTGCCTGTTCCTGTGCCTTGTTGCATTGCTGAGGCAGTGGTGGTTTCACTGTTTCTCCTGTGATGAGGCGTGTGGTATCCAGCCTCCATCTCCTGGTGGCTCAGCCACATGGCAGCCGAGCTCTGCATGCAGGAGCTGGCCCAGGACAGGCACCCAGAGCTGGCCCAGCAAGCTCAGGGAAGCTCTGGGGTGTGGGGGTTCCTGCCAGGCTCAGCCCCTCTGCTCACAGTGGTAATCACAGGATAACCCACTGTCACCTCAGGGCTTCTTTGGGCTGCCAGGCCAGGGAAGCAGGCTCTGTTTGGGTTCTCTCTCTCTAAAACTCACAAATTTTTGCCCTCATCCTGAAGAAGGTTCTCACAAGGTTATTTCAGTGCATTCCTGCCCAGTGAAACCTCAGCACCATCCAGTAACTGTTTTCCAAGGTTGCCTGGAAGCAAGGTGCTGCCACACAGGCAGTGTCAGGAGGAGGAAGCTTAGGGAGGCAGAAGCTTAGGGATTTTCTCTGATACAATCTCTGATACTGGGCTCAGCATGTTCACACTCTCCCAAGGGTACCTGAGAACTGAATCTTTCTGGAGTCCCCCAGAAGGCCACGTTCAAAGTATTTTTCACAAGTACTAAAGAGAGTTCTCAGCATTGCAGCTGCAGCTGGAGGCCCAGGGATTTTTCCTTTCAAGATTTGCCCCTTTTGTCATTTTTCTCCCCTCTGGGCTCCTTGTGAGTGCCAAGTATCTGGAACCAAGGGAGACTTCATACAGACATTCATTTTCTCTTTTGTCAATGATTGTAAAAGATTTACAAGGGAATTGCAAATGGACCTGAGCAAAGACAGAAAATGACCACAAAAGAGAAAAGACAACAAGGCAGGGGAACATGGAACTCTGCCAGCATCCCTGCAGGGTCTGCCAGGCTGTTATCCACCCTTCAGTGCACTGCAGCCCTTGCCCACGGCAGCTGGGGGGACACTGGCCCATGGCTGATGTGCTGGGGGGACACTCTGTGCTGCTGAGGTGTGGCCCTGCTCTGAGCTCTGCACCTGCACTGGCTCTGTGCTTGCAGAACCAGGGTGGTCTGATGAAAGGTGACAAAGCCACCTCCAGAGTCAGCTCTGCAAAGAACCAGCTGCATGTGCAGGGCCTGTGAGCTGCTGGCAGGTGTGAAGTGCTCACAGAGAGCAATCACTTCCCAGTGTCAAGTGCTCTCAATTGCCCACAATTTTGGAACTGTGCAAGTCTCCCCCCAGACTATTCTTTGCAAAGGTGCCAGCTGGGAGGGTTCTGTGTCCAGGGCTGCACTGTGTGTCCCCTGCAGGGAGCTGGAGGTGCAGTTTGTGTGCTGTGTCTGCAGGACAGTGGCAGCAGACCCTGCAGAAGGGACATGGTGGTGGCACTGATGGCAGAGGCTCCAGGGGCACCCATGCACCATGGCAGGGTCCAGGTTACAGCAGGTGGACAGCCTGAGATGTCCTTGTGGCCACCAGACCTGGCTAGAAGGGGCATGGTGCTCACAGACAGGTATTTCCCAGAGCCTGAGTGAGGAACTGGAGGCTGCCCCAGAGTCCTGTCCCTCCAACAGCAAGGAAGAGTGGGGGAAGGAGAGGCAGTGAGAGGGACAGTGGCTTTTCCTGGTCCATGTACCTGGGGTTGTGTGCTGCCTCTCAGATCACAGCAAGCTCCTTCACCCCAGCGAAGAGGGGGGTTCACCCACATCCCCCTGAGCAGCCTGTGCCTGACTGTGCCCTGTCCCCCCAGGTGTCCCTCAGCCACGAGTGCACCCGTGCCATCATGAAGCTGATGTACTGCCCGCACTGCCGGGGCATGTCCAGCGTGAAGCCGTGCAACAACTACTGCCTGAACGTCGTGAAGGGCTGCCTGGCCAACCAGGCTGACCTCAACACCGAGTGGAAGTACCTGATGGGTAAGATGGCCTTCCTCTGCTGCAGCACAGCTGCCTCTCTCTTGGACTTCAAGAGGGTGGTGGGAGGCTCGGGGGAGGTTGTTTGCAGTGGTAAAGAGCTCAGTCCTCCCTGTGCCCACACAGCATCACTCAGCAAGCTCTCTTTCACTTGTACATGCACAGCTGGAGGGATCTGAGGCCTGAGGGAGCCTTGGTGTTTGTCTGGGCTCACGGAGGGCAGGCACCAGAGGAGATGACCTTGGACTTGGCCTTTTTCATTCCTTGTCTTGGCACCTTCTGCCTGCCCAGCAAAGCTGCCAGCTCAGCCCCAGCTGCAGCCCCGCAGGCCGGCTCGGGGTTGGCGTGTGCTGGCATTAAGAACAAAAACCCCAGCGAAGTCAAGCAGTGTCACCTGCCTCTCGAGGGACACTGCAGGATGGAGAGGGAAGCACAGCCCAGCGAGGCCAGGGCGCTGCCTGGAGCTGTGCCACAGCTAAATGGAATTGCTCCCTGTGGGAGCTCCTGGGGGGCTGCTGCAAAGGAGGGGGAGGAATTATCCCTTCCCCAGGGGTTCAGTGGCCCTTTGGCCTTTCTGAGCAGAGCCAGCCAACTGTCCCTGCCACTTTCTGGTGGCAGGATGACACCTCTCTCCTGAAACATCACTGTACACTTTCCTTGATTGACAGGGAAGCAATTCCATGTGCAATTTGCATTTATTCTGGCTTCCTCTTCCCAAGAGACACTGTCAAGGGGTGATGGCCAGGAGGAAATTGGAGCTTCTTTCAAATTGCAGTTGTACATTTCAGTGTCAGAGGTCACAAACTGATAAAGGATGGAAGCAAATCGTGGAGTCAAAGGCACCAGTTCGCTGTTGGTGTCCTTCCTTCACTCTCCTGCAGGCCCTTCTGTGTAGCCAGAGACGATTTTGTTACACTAAATACAGAGTTACTCTTTCAGTTTGACAAATTAGGGCAGAGAAAATTAAGGGAAATTTTTTTAGTAAGTGGTTCAAGTGTAATTTACTACTATTTAGGGGTGCAACCTTTGATTTAAATGTCTGTATCTCAAGATTAGTGCCTCTGCAAGGCACTATTTGTCTGAAATACACAATCTCAAAAATGACACCACAACCCCTGAGTGGCAGCAAAATTAAACTGCAAGCTCTTCAGTGTTACAGGAGATTTTATTTCCCAGAATACAAAAGATGTTACCAAAATTTACCTCTCTTTTTTGAGAGCATATAGGCTGTCCTTCCTCCAGCTGGAGTGTTGGGAATTGTCTCTGGGGGAAGGCAGAGGTTGGTAATTCTTTGTAAGCCAAGCACAGCCCCAAGGCAGCCATCCAAGCAGGAACTTCCAGGCCAGGTGGGAGTGCTTGGACATCAGAGCTTTCCAAGAGGAACTGGGGGCTGAGGCAGCCCTCAGTCACTCCCTGTCCTGTTTACCAGTTAGTTGTGAGCATACTGGTCTGATTCTGTACCTCTGTAGCCTGATATTTCCCTGGCTCTTGTCCTTCCAGAGGTGAAGGTGAAAAGAATTACTGCTTTTCTCACTCCTTCACTGCCACAGAAACTATTTCCCACATCCACTACCTCTGGCACCTTATTGACCCCAATTCTTCCACTTTCCCCTGGCCGCAGTGCTTTGCCGAAGACATGCACTGAGTTAGGAGGGTGAGGGCCAAGTATTTCTGTGTGTCTTAATAATTCTGCTCCAGTTTTCTGGTTTTCCCTTCTGTATCACCCAGGGAAATGCTGGTTACTTTGGGTGAACACTCTTACCCAAAGTGTATTTACCATTTGCAGGAGGTTCCTTTGCCACAGAGAGTGGCTTTACCTACATGAGGTAAGGAAAACAAGTGTGCACCTGGCAGTGGTGAAAACAGAGAGGTGTCTCCCAACAAGGAGACCTGCCAAGGGCCCAGCAGCTTCTCTCACCCAGCATGAGCTGATCTTTCCCTTGGTTTGTCCAGAGTGATGATGAGAGCTGTCCCTGCCTTGTTCCACAGATTCCCTGATCGGGGTGGCCGATCGGATCGACGGCCCCTACAACCTGGACACTGTGATAGGCACCATCCACATGAGGATCGCTGAAGCCATCTCTAACTTGCAAGAAAACAAAGATTCAATCACAAGCAAGGTAGGAGCGTGTGCCTGGGCCTGCCTGAGGACACATCACATGCAACTGCCAGGACCAAATGCTCTTTTGTGCTCACTGTTCAGCTGAACTGGGGGAGATGAAGAGTGAAAGAGAGCATGTGCCCGCTCTTTTAATGATAAATTACCTGGGTTTCCTGGCACTCATCTGACACAGGCAAAAAACCTTTGCAGGTGTTTCCAAATACTGCTCCCTGCTACATCCAGCCAGCCTCCTTTGGGTACAGGCATAGGAGGTGGGGCTGCATACACAGTGATGGGGGGTCATGTGCCATTTGCTGTCAGGGGCCTCTGTGCTGAAGAGTTCTGAGATGTTTTGGCTGAGCTGAGGCATTTACACAAAGTGCACAGTCCCCAGTGACAGGAGGCAGCTGCTTTAACCAGCCTCGAGGGGATCTTCTGCAGTGGAAACACTGGGCTAGCAGGTTGTACCACGGGACAGAGCTGCAGTCTGGCAGCCCATCTGGAGAGTACAGACCAGGCTCTCCTGTGGCTCTCCTGTGGCTCTCCTGTCTTCCAAGAAGTATGTATCATGAAGGTCTCTTCTGTTGGTCTTCTATTTTTAGTATATTTATCCACTTAACCACAGTCACCTCTGTAGCTGCAGGTAAGAGAAGCTTTGGGAACAAAAGCAGCCCTCCAGGGCTCCTGTCTTTTGCCCAGACACTCCCCAGGTCCTGCAGCTATCCCACAGTCAGGGCAGAGATGCAGATGAAAGGAGTGGGACAGGTCTTAACTGGGTTTTGGATGAGGGAAGGGCCAGAAGTATTGCTTGGCAAATTCACTGGCACACATCAAAGCAGTAACAGCAGCACACATCCAAGCACTGGGTTAGGTTTCTTTTCTGACATGAAAGGCAATGTTCTTTCTTTCTTCGTTAGGTGAGACTTGAGGCTTCCCACATAAAAGCAGATCCATATTGTGGGGAAACATAGAATCATCTGCAAAGCAAGGTGTTTCCAAGGGGAATACAGTAAATCTGCTGAAATGACAGGGGCTAAATAGTCTTAACTGGTGTTTGATTGGAGTAACCAAACATGTTTGATAAGCTCCTCAGTATGACCTGGTGACCAGGTGATTGGAGCACCCTGCTGGTGGCACAGCTAGCAGAGGGCAGGAGCTGCAAAGCTCTGAGCTGTTTTTGAGCATGGCAAAGCCATCAGATGAGGGATATTGTCAGCTGAGTTCAGGACTGTCCCAGGCCAGTCCTGGCCATCTCAGAGCCAGGGACATGACCCAGGCCAAGGGCACTGCTGTTAAGGTAACCTCCCAGTCTGACCAGTCAGAAGGCACTCTGGCAGCCACACTGCCACCATCAGAGGCTGTCACTGCAGCCCCTGAGAGTGGCAGGTCACAACCCCCAGGTCCCCACTGGATTCCTGCACACCCCACTCACACAGCCAGACCAGGTCTCCTCGATGGTTCCATCCCAGGTTTCGCATGGCAGTCTCAGATCTCTCCTTCCATAAAGCAATTTATTCACAGCACAGTAACACAGAAGGAGTTTATGCTGGTGCTTCTGAGGACAACAAAGGTACCCCTGGGCTTTTATCCCCTCACTGTCCAAGCATGCAGAGGTTCCAGCCGGTGTCTGGTCACCTGGCTGGTGCCGCAGGTCCCTGTGCCCTTTGTTGTGCAAAGCCTGGGCTCAGTTCACAGCCTTGGGCTGGGCCAGCCAAGCTGAGTCTGTCACTGCACTGCACCCGAGCCACTGCACAGAATGTGCTCCACATGGGATGGGACCTGGGTAAAACTAAAGAAGAATTTGGGGTGCTGAGCCTTGTGCTCAGGGCAGCAGGAGCTATCAGAGGCTGCAAACGCCTACTTGTTCCCATTTTTCAGGAGACTACTGACCCCCTCAGTCTGCTGCAGCTGTGCTTTCTCCAGCAGTAGCTTGCATTTCTCACCTGAAGCTTTTAGAGTGGCAAGAGGTTCACCCTGGTACACTGTGCTGGAGCTGCCACTGTCCTGGACACTTCTCCAGACTTTTATCTCCTGGGAAGAGGCCCAGCAATATTGGTGCCATCAGCAGCAGAAGGCCAGCAAGGTACAGGGTGAAACCAAGGTTTTGTTTTGGTAGGACCAAGTTGAAAATGTTCTATGTGCAGTTTTCAGGACGGGGTTTTTTGCACAGAGCAAATGAGACTGATGAACAAACAGCTTGGCTTGGTGCTGAACTGCTGGAACCACCTAGGTCCATGTGGTCAGCAGGACAGGGCACCCCAGGAGGGGCCTGTAGAGGCTGCATGTCCCTCAGACACACGGGCAAGGGACTCTTGGCTGGGTTAGCACTTGGCTGTCAGAATCCATGAGCCAGCACATTCAGCAGGTGGCCTGAGCTGTGTCAGCAGAGCTCTGTCTGTGGCCCTGACTCCTCTGCTTTGAGGAGACACCAGGCAAAGTCACGTTTAACAATAGCTTCTGACAGCACCCTGGCAACCACAACAAGCTTGGAGCCCTCCTTATGAATCAGATGGCTTCCTTTGTAAAGGCTGGCATGTTCTGACTCAAACTGACAGTGCAAAGTCCCTCCTGGCCTGATGCTTTGTCCAGCCTGGTTCTCTGAGCTCTGCTGCCACCAGTGTGGTTCAGCTGCCCAGCCCTGGTGATCTGCAGCACAGGTATTGCTGCCTGGACTGGTGGTGCAGGGACTGGGAGAAGCAGTTTTCAGTGTTTCCAGAACACCTTTCATCTCATCCTGCAGGCCAGGTCTGGGGATTTGTACCTTCCAAGTGCTTCTGCTGCCCTCTGGCTACAAAGCTCATTTGGGCAGATAGTTAGCATGACAGGAGGTTCCTGAGGCACACTGATTTCCCAAGTGTGGATGTTGGTTGCAGGAGTCATGGGCATAGTCCCACATCACTCTCTTGTCCATCAGTGAAACTCCCATGCTCTGTAGTTTTGAAGCCCACACCACTGATGTAATGAGTGTGAGCAACTCCCATCTTGTTCTTCCCAGGATTTTATTTTCCAGTCGTAAGAAGAGATAAAATTGCTATAAATAATTTAATATCAATGTTGGTGACTCATCCAAAAACATGTGTTACTGCTGAATATTTTGCTTGATAGTGGTAACCAAAACCAGTTACAATGTGCTGAAAACACATCTGGCACTAGAAACTAAGCCAGAATCTCTGAGAATCTTGGCAATGGGAAGGACAAACATACTTAAGAAGGAAAAAAAACCCATAACTGTGGAGTGTTAAATAATTAAAGGAAGAGCATCAAAACGTGGGATAGAGAGTTTGGTTTGTTTTTCAGGTGTTCCAAGGCTGTGGAAATCCCAAAATCAGCACAAAAGGCTCCAGTAGTGAGGACAAGAAGAGACGGGGGAAGGTGACATTGGAAGCCAAATCCTCTGCACAAGCACTGGAGATGCTGGTGGGTTTGTCCCTGGAGCTGGTCCTGGGTCCTGCAGGTCGGGTCACAGCGCCCTGGGGGCTGCTGAGCTGCACATCTGGAGAAGATCAGATCACCAAGTGATGGTGTAACCCAAGCAAACCTGGTCTTCTTGCCTCTGCACAGGGTTGGGTCTATGTTGCTGATAATCAGTTTCCCAGGGATTTGGTGCCAGACTTACCTGAGAGGCTCCTAGTCTGATGGTCTTCTCTTGGTTGGTCTTGTGGTCCTGGAACAGTCCTTGGCATGTTACCTTTAGCCTTGGGCACTTGGGTTGGTGGTTGGTCTTTAGGGGAAGGTTGATGATACATCCTTGTTTGCATAAAAACAGATTTTGTGATGATGAAACAAAAAATAGGCAGAATCTTTCTCTGCCCCAGAGCTCCTGTGGCCTTGAGCATCTCCTTTGCTTACAGGTTTTAGATGCCAAAGGGAATCTGACAGCTCTCAAGACATACTGGATCACCCTCCCCAGCACCCTGTGCAGCAAAAAAGTAATGGCCAGCTCAGCATCAGATGACAAGTGTTGGAACGGGATGACCAAGGGCAGGTATGGAGTGGGTCAGTGCCAGGAGCACCAATCTGGGGTGAGAGGAAGGGTTTGAAAAGTCACTTACACATCATCACAGCCAGCCCCACTTGTTCAGAGTGAGCAGTCTGTGCCTGTCCATAGAAATGCTGCATTTCTGGAAAACCTCGTGCCTGGGAATGCCAAGCCCAGTGTCATTTTGCTGTGTGTTGAGGGTTAAGCACTGAAATGCACTCACCATGAAATAACTGTGTAGTTTTCTACTAAGGAAGCAGTTTTGCAATTCCACATATACTCAGAAGGCAGCAGGGCTGGATTTACCACACAAGCTCCAGAGCTGCTGCAAAGAATTACCTGCACATCCATACCTGCTCTGAACTGCTGTTCCCTCTGAGAGAGAGCACCTGGGTGACATCAAACAGCTGCAGAAACAGTTCCTACTCCAGCCAGGGTTATAGGATGGCTGAGGGGAGATTGGAAGCTGCTGGACATGCACCTTTCTCCTCTTCTCTCTGCAGACCTCTTGGGTTTGGCTTTGCCAGCCTGAAGTCAACACCTTCAGTTCTTCCATATTCCACACTGTTGCCAGCAGTGTCCCAGATCTGCAGGAGCAGGAGGAGCAGGGCACTGTGGAAGGCAGCAGTGCAGCCCTGGCTGACAGCTCAAAGTTTATTAAGCTTTCCTGGGAGCCTGTCTGGTCAAACTGGGCTGGGGCCATTCAGTGGTCCCAGAGTGTCAATCTCCACAGGATTTAACCAAGCAGGGATTAAAGTGCTCCTCAGCCTCCAATGTGGACAGAGATTTTCCATAGGGGAGCATCACTGTGGGCCCATTGGTACCAGCCTGAGAGCAAGCCCTCTGCCTTTCCTGCAGGAGATCCCTCCCCATGCTGGGACAGGGGTGCTGCAAGGCCACCCAGCCATCTCCTGCAAGCTGAGACATCCCTGCTGGGGTCTGGCCATGGCAGCACAGCTCAGCCATCCAGAGAGGTGGGCTGCCTCCCAGCAAACACCAGCTACAGAGGCTGTTCACAAGTCAGTGGCACTGACTGCAGCCTGTCTGGGCCTCAAGGAGCCTGGATTATCCCTGGTGTCTGTAGGGAGAGGTAAGCTGAGCTGGGGGGAGACATCTAAAAACCTTTTGCCTTCCTTCCCAGTTACCTGCCTGAGGTGATGGGGGATGGCTTGGCTAACCAGATAAACAACCCAGAGGTGGAGGTGGACATCACCAAGCCAGATATGACCATTCGCCAGCAAATCATGCAGCTAAAGATCATGACAAACCGGCTGGGCAACGCTAACATCGGCAACGACGTGGATTTCCAAGACACAAGTGAGTGCAGCAGAGCCAGAGAGGTTCAAGGGGGTGAGAAGGGCTGAGCAGTCCTGCAGCCTGCACAGGTGTCCCTGTAGATGCTGCTGCTGGGCTCTGGGGGCAGAGAGCGGCTGTGGCAGCCTGGCTTCTGGCTCTGGGGGGCTGCTGAGAGGCTGCTTGAGTGCAGCCAACGTGTGGGGTGGCTGTGCTGTTCCCAGTGCTGTTCCCAGTGCTGTACTGAAACCTGCAGGGCTGTCTCCAATCCCAGCCCTGCTGACAAGGCCATTGCTCCTGTCTGCTCCAGAGTTTGCAGCTGCTGAAGCAACAGGTCATAAAAGCCAGCAGGAGGTCAGGTATGAGCTGCAGAGAGGAGGGGGTGGCCAGGGTAGGGCTGGTGGCCAGAGCTCCCCAGGGTTGCAGCAAGGGGAAGGCCTGGAAAAGGAAAAGGGAAAAGGGAAAAGGGAAAAGGGAAAAGGAAAAGGAAAAGGAAAAGGAAAAGGAAAAGGAAAAGGAAAAGGAAAAGGAAAAGGAAAGCAGTCTGTGCTCACCCCACGTCTGTCTCTGTGCAGGTGACGACATGAGCGGCTCTGGGAGCGGGGACAGCTGTCCTGACGACGTCTGTGGCAAAAGACTTTCTAAGAGCCCCAGCACCAGGCAGCCAGAAACACACGCTATTCCTAAGCAGTCTGGACACGGCATCAATGGGGCCAGCAGCAGATCTTTGCCTTCTGCCTCCCTCCTCCTCCTCCTCTCGGTGGCTGTCATCACCGCACAGCACTTGTGGCGGTAACTCACTGGCAAAGCCAGGAAACAGACTGCGGCTGAGGGCTTCACTTTGCCAAAACCAACCAACCAACCAACCAACCAACCAAAGGACATATTTAATTCACCTTGGCAAAAAAACAAAAAAAGGAAAAAAAAGAAAACAACAAAAAAAGGGAGGAGAAAAAGGTTTCCAGAAGGTTTCAGTTGTTTGCTATTTCTGGCAGTGCTCGAGCTGTTTTCTTCTTTCTTGGTCTTTCCCCAATGCTGGGCCCTTCTTTCCATACCTCATTGTTTTACTTTTGTTATTGCCACAAACTGGCTCTTGGGGCTGAAACAAGCCTTTGCAGAGGGCTGCAGGGAACTCAGCCGGGCCCTCCAGTGGAATATGCAATTGCCCTGCCCTGGTTCCCCAGCGCGGGCCAGAGCGCCGCTGCCGGCAGCGCCGGTGCCGTGGGCAGGGATCCTCGGCACGGCTCACCTGCTGCATTCAGGGGCTCTTTGGGTTCTTCCTCTGTGCTTCCTAGCTGGCCAGAGATGGCCCTTCACTTCCAGTGGTGTACATAGGAGCGGGAGCAGCTTTGGTGGGTTGAACTGAAAGAGTTTGGCAGTGGCTGTTGGACCCAAAAATGCAGAACTCCCTTTTTTCTTGGAAAGGTCACAAGTGGGTTTCTTGACTAGAGCTCGTAGCTGACGACAATTTGAAATGTAGGTTTCCTACATCTAAGTGACTGGGAATGAGTGTTAGGGGTTGGGGTTTGGGGTACTTTTTCTTTGCATGCTAGTTGGAAAGCCATTTTTTACCCAAGTAACAAAGGTCCAATTTCTACCTGCAGTGCAGTACCATTGTAGGTAACAGAGAGATGCAAATATGCACAGTGAGATTCTCTGTGTGACAGACAGTTGTGCTGCCTCCTCCTTCTCTGGCCCCAGCCATAGACAGGAATCTGTTTGTTTTTTTCTTGGTAATAAGAAAGACCAGGGACATTTTGCTAACTGGAGCTTTGGGACTGGTTGTGCCCCTTCAAGCAGCTGCCTTAGGGCAGAGAGGGGCTGGTGGGGATCACCTTGGCACTGGGTCCCTACCCAGAGCACTGGCTCAAGGCAGCACCCACCAGGGGGAATGTGAGGATGGGACACATTTTGTTTGGGATTTCTTTCTACCTTTGTTGTTTGTTCCAGTTGCATTGTAGGTTTTTAATGGATTACCATTTTCTCTGTTCCTTCCTCATCATCCAGAGCACCTTCCCTGAGCCTGCAGTGGGGGGCTGAGCCAGCAGCTCACACAGCACCGGCAGTTTTGGCTCAGGAGAGGGCCAGGCTCACCCTTTGCTGCCCCATCCCAGCACTCACCAGCCTCTGGGTGATGGGGGCAGCTGCCCTAACCCCAAATTGCTTGGTGGGGTGGGCTCTGTGCCAGGTTTTGAGATTGGGGATGGTGAGTGAATTTACAAATGTCCTCACATAGCTGTAGGAGTGTCTGTGCTTTGTAGGGCTCTGTGTCTGGGACTTCCAGAGGCTTCTGTGCCTGGTGAGCAGCAAGCACAGGCTGGAGCTTGGGTGTAGATGCTGGATACAACACAGTCACTGGGACTGCTTGGGCCAGGAGCACACACAGCTTGGGTTTGAGCTTCAGATGGGTTTGTATTGGGCTGAGAGGGAGGGCAGAGCTGGGCCTGTCTCTTGCTTTACTCAGCATTTGAGCAATTCTTCTGTCTTTTCAGAGGAGATGTGCCTTTGGGCTGAGCAAACATTATGGGGTCGGGGTTTGGCTGTTTTCTAAGAAAGAAAAAAAAATCAAACCCATTTTTAACATGTTTCTAAAGTGTGCAGTTTAAGGAAAGATAAGGACATGAGAAAGGTAATGCTGAAAGCCAGTTCTGCCCTCCCTGGGGCCCAGTGGTGGCATTGAGGGGCAGATTTGAGGCCAGCTTCAAGTCACAGTGATTAATGTCAATGACTGTGCATCCTTTCTGCCTTGGCCTCACCTTCTTGTAAGGCACAATCATACCTGATCCACTCAAGTGTCAGAAATGAACACTGGGGTGCTGGACAATGGCTGAAGGACAGACAGTGCCACTCCACCCATCAGAACTCTGGAGAAGATAAATGTAAGTTGTGGTTTTGTCTAGGTTTATTTACTCCTAGACATACAGCAAATTCACATTATTTTTACTGTTCTAGCTTTTCTTTTTAATTTTTTTTTAATCAGAATTGCAAATACAAATTTAAATTTCAGTTATAACAGTCCCCACAACCAGTCCTGCAGAATTACATCCAAAGGAAAAAAAAAAAAAGGTGGGGAGGGAGGAAGAATTAAAACATTGTACCCTCTGAAAACACAGTTGGGTTGGGGTTTAACACGTGGATGCTAAGGTCAATGGTTTGCTTTGCAGAATTGGAGCTTGAAAGTCACTTCCATTTCTGTGCAATTAATTTTTGCTGTCTGCCTGTTATCCTCAAAAGCTTCTTATGAGTCTCTTCCATCTTAAATGTGAAGCCAGGAATTTACTGATTATCCAGTTAATATTTTAACAATTTAATAGACCAAACTAGTGGTTCTGTTACAAGAAAAAAAACGTGATAGTGCAAATTAATAAGGCAAAACCTCAAAGAAACAGTAAAATCTGTTATGCAGGGGAAGTCCTTCCTGATGCCTTCACCTCCAGGCTGGGGTTGAGCTCCCACTCTCAAGTCCCTCCTGACCATGAGGGTGGCAGCTTCCACCTTCCAGAAGCCCAGCCAGGGTGAGACCAGGACAGCAGCCCGAGGTGGGGCAGTGCAGGGGGCTGGGTCTGCTCTGTGCCCAGAGGTGCTCGATGGTGGTGGTGACACTTCCTCTGATTTGTACATCATATATCCAGCCTACACTGCTGCATCCCTGGGTGCTCAGTTTTTCTGTTCTCTCTTGCCCTGAAGTTGTTTCCCCAGCTGCTGCCATGGCCTGGGGCTGTGTTTGGCCATGCCACCTTCCCCAGGAGCTGAAGTGGCCGAGAGCCCCCAGGATATCAACTCTAAACTAAAGCAAACTGCAGTTACTGCTGACTAAACAATCACTGGTGTGGCTGAACAAGCTGAAATCAACCCAGCTCCAGACAAGTCCAAAGCCTGTGGTCAGGTTGGTGCAGAACCTGTGGCCTTTCAGTGCTTATGAATGACATTTCCTGGGCTGCTGCCTGCTGGACAACACTGTGACACCCCTCCCCGTGGCTGGTGGCTGCTCTGGGTTGGCTGCATGAGGGGATCTCTGAGGAACTGGGCTGGCTGGGAGAAACACCTGCTTCAATGGTGGTCCATCATGTCCTGGTGTGAAAAGGCCTCATACCTGACAGGGGTCTGGAGGGGGTAGTGGTGTAGGAAAAAATATTTACAAAGGCCCTGTCCCTGGGCAGGGGAGAACCATAAACAGTGAATTTCCAAGTGTCTCTGTCTTTCAGCCTGCTCTTTGTGCCATAACATGTGTTTTAAACAATGGTGAGGGTCTCAAAAGGCTTTGAGAGCACAGCTACTTCTCATTTACAGATGACAAGCTGCCTGTTGTTTTCTGGTGGGCTTGGTAGGGGCTAAGGTATAGCAGAATATCTAAAGTCCACCTTTGCTTTAAACAGATGCATTTCTATCTGCAGGAGTAAGAATTATTTCACTTATCAGCATAGCTGGACAGTTACCTATTTCTTTCTGTTACCAAGGTACTTGTAACTCTCTTGCACTGTTTATCTAAAGTTGAAATATGTTCTTTGAATCCTTGTATAAATAAAAAGGCTGGAGACAAATCTGTATTTACAGGGCAATTATTTCTTCTCCGTTTAAAGGCAAGTCTGGCATTTTCTTTCTTTTTCCCTTGCTAAGGCACAGATAAAGGCCAGGTCAGGAGCCCTGAGGAATGAAACCATGTTTCAGCCACAAGTGTGTAATGGGCTGATGGCAGTGTTGGCAATAGGGATCTGCCTGCATTCCTGTACCTTTCAGAGGAGCAGATGCAGGGTTCTATGGATGTGTGTTTGTGGGAACAAGGTGAGCCTGCTTTGAGCCATCAAAGCAAGGACCCTGTTGTCTCTCATCTAGAAGCACAGAAAGTCCTGGCATAACAGTATAAAAAGTCAGAAATGCCTTTTATATTTGTCATTACAAAGTGTTGTACAGACCATGGCTGTGCACCAGTGCAGCTGTTGGACGGGCTCACAGCAAGCAAAGCAGCGAGGGGGATGTTTCATCTCCAGCATGTGCTTGAGACTGAGCTGATGCAGCAGAAAGGTTTGTGCTTCAGCTCTGTCCAGAAGTGGGTACGTGCAGCTGTCAAGGTGATGTGTTGGAAGCTGCTCATGAAATGTCTACAAGAGACTTGGTAACTGAAAACTACTAAAAGTGTATCCTTCTGCCTGGAAGCAAATATCAGCTGAATTTAATAAACTGACTGATACCCCTGAGTGAGTAGGTATTTATTTAGATTCCTCTCCTTCAGCTACAGCTATTTGCACCGTATGCATGCATTTGTATAAATACAAGTGCAAAAATATAGGTCTTCTCCTTGGAGAAGTTTTGTGCACACCAGTCACCTGCTTTGCCTCCTCAGAGTCTAATTGCAATCTGAAATAAAAGCCTCTTACAGCTTGGTGTTTACTAAAGGTGTCTGAAAACATTTCTGCAGTTCATAATGTCACTGAACGCTGCATGTTTGTAAATTCACTGCTAAGAGCTTGCAGGAGGTGTAGGGTGTGGTACAAGCTCAGCTCCCACTCCCCTGCAGCCACACATGGAAGGCTTCCAGGGCTCCAAGAGCAGCCCAGCACATCCTGGGAGCTCAGCAAGACCCTGGGGCCAGACACTTTGCAGGTGCATGGCAGGAGGACAGGAGACAGCCATTGTGACTGGGGTTGGCAGCATACCCCAGTGCCACCAAGAACAGAAACACCCCAGGAAAATCTGGATCATCAGGAGGCATCAGAGCTTTCCTAATGAGGGGGTGAGGCTCTTACCCTGCCTTCGACCATCTTACAGAGGCAGCAACCAGCTTCACTGCCAGAAGATGGCATTTGTGTTTAACTTATAAATTACTCTGTGTGTAGTGACAGCTGCCCTGCTCCTAACTCCTCCTCTGCACTGAGACACGGTGCAGGGCAGGCTGGTGGGAAGGGATCACCTTTCTGGCATGAATGACCATCCTTAAGTCAGCTGTGGGCAGGTAGCAAATAAACATCCATAGCCTCAGAGAGAGGGAGCTCAGGTGCAGCCTCAGTGGCATTTGCTGGTGCTAAATGAGGACAAGAACGGTGCCCTGAAATGGTGTCACCTGGACAGCACCTGGACCAGTGCTGGGATGAGCTGCAGGAACTGGCAAACCAGTAACTCACACCAGGCTTGTCTGGCAAACCCCAGAGCAATCTGATGGGCTACTGCCACCCACACAGACCAGTGGAGGGTTCATGGCACAGCAAGGATGATGCCATGCAAAATAAAGATTATGGTTTTGGTATGAACTGGAGTGTGCTATAAAGCACCGCCCAGGGACCCTCTGCAAGGGCCCAAGAAAGCCCAGTGATGAGTGCAGGCAGAAGAGGGATGAGCCTCTGTCAGAGGCAGCAGCTGGCTCTATTCCAGTGTGGGGTATTGTCATATGCCTGTCCCACAAGGAAGTCCCTGGCAGTGATTGCAGAAAGGTTCCTTGCCTGAATGCCAGCATCATGGCCTGGGAATAAAGGGTGTGCCACAGAAATGCTCATCTGGGCAAGAGCCACTGCCAGGGAACATCCAAAATCCCTGGTAAGAGTGGCTGTGGGGGAATCTGGGAGCCCTCCCCCTGCTGCTGGGGTGGGCAGCATCAGGGTCTCCTGTTGAGTTTTCTCCTTTCCAGCTGCAGGATCCCAACCTGAACTTGGCCTCGCACCAGCCACATGCCCTGAGCACAGGAAGCAAGGGGGCAGATGAATAAGCCTGCATGTGGGAGCTGAGCCATGTGCTGGCTAACAGGAGGGGACACCATGCTCCTGTGCTCATGGCAGAGAGCCAACTCCTTTGGTCCCAGAGCCACCACCTCGCTGACAGGCTGCCAGTGACAAATCACATCAGGTGTGTGGCAGGTCGAGTTCTTCTTCCTCCATGATCAAATAAAAGCTCAACACTTTCAATTCCTTAATGAGTGGCTCTGCATTTCACACCTGTCTGTGCTCTGCTGCTGCAAGAGTTCAGGTTTTGTGTCAGCAGCAAATATCAGCCAAATGTTCCTGTTTTGCCTGAAAGCCAAGGGTTGAAGCAGCTCAGCCTCCAGGAAGCAGCTGGCACCTGTGAGCAGCACCTGCCCAGCACTGGCCAATGTGACCTTCACCTGGCTGGCCTTGGCCCATCCCCACCTGTCCTGTGCAGTTCAAACCCATGTCAGCACACTCTGGTGTAAGATAGTCTCTGCCCTCGCAGCACACCAGCAATTCTACTGAAGTCCAGGAAGATTAGCACTACGCTATCTGGCCAGCCTAGTCAATCATTTTCTGGGCACTCAAAAGACGCTTTTGTTGTAGGCGAGTGGCATCGAGATGCTCTGGAGAAGATCAGAATCACAGAATCACAGAATATACTGACTGGAAGGCCCACAAGGGTCATGGAGTCCAGCTTCTGGCCTCACACAGAACATCCCCAAGAGTCACACCATGTGCCCAAGAGTACTGTTCAAACACTTCTTGAACTCAGGTTTGGTGCTGTGCCCACTGCCCTGGGGAGCCTGTTCCAGTACCCAACAACTCTCTGGCTGAAGAACCTTTTTCTAATCTCCAGCCTAAAGCCGCCCTGACACAACTTCAGTGTTGCATCACTGCACGGCCAGCACGGCAGCATTCCCGTGCAGAACACAGCAGGTAAGCAGCTGCTCTCACGGATCCATTGGCTTTACGAGTGAGCCGTGGGCTGTGGAAGCGCTTCCAGCGTCCCAAGCGCAGCTCCCGGGATGCAGCCGGCGCTAGGACCTGCTGGAGCCGCTACGCCCCCAGGAGCGGATAAATACAGCAGGATAAATACAGCCGGGCAGGACGGCCGTGCCGGGAGCGCCGTGGCTGCCCCGTGCCCGCCGATGCCCCAGCTGTGCCCGGTCACCTCCTCGCTGCTGCTGGGCACGGCCAGGGCGGCGTGCGACGAGGAGCTGCTGCTGCGGGAGGGGATCACCTTGTGCGTCAATGTCACCCGGCAGCAGCCCTTCCCCGGCCTGCGGGGGCTCCGCGGCATCCGTGTGCCCGTGTTCGATGATCCGGCCGAGGACCTGGCCCGGTTCTTCGAGCCGTGCGGTGCCGCTATGGAGGAGGCCGTGCGGGCCGGCGGGAGGTGCCTGGTGTACTGCAAGAACGGCCGCAGCCGCTCCGCTGCCATCTGCACCGCCTATCTCATGAGACACCGCCAGCTCTCGCTCAAGGACGCCTTCGAGGTAGTGTGCCTACAGCCAGATTCGTATTTACTGCTCTTTTGGGGAAGAAATGCAGCGCTTCTTATGAGTAATGATGATTTCTTGTAGAATTATTTTGGTGCTTTCACCTGCCCCTCACCATTTATACAGAGATTCAACATTTGGATAAACAATCCCCTGGAAGTTTTTTCGTGCCCAGCTTGGTCTAATAAGTTTTCAGTGTGGGGTTTCTAGGATGAAGATAAATACAAATGCAAGTAGGCTTTAAGCACAGGTAGCAAATGTACAAAGCTGGCTGCTTAGTGAACATTTTCTCTATTGTTTGCCCAGCCGTGACAAGTGAGGACACATAGAGTGAGTAGGTGCAGGAACTGTTCTGCAGGGTTTGCTGCACACAGCAAAGAGACAATCCTGTGAGGCCCTGCATGCCTCAGGACCTGCTTGCTGTCAGCCAGAGCTGTATTGCTATAAGCAATGACATGGCAGCTTTCCTAGGAAGCCTGTGCAATACAGACTACTTGTGCTTTATGGGTTTTTGGTCTTCACCCACTTGTCAGGTGTATCACTTTGGACAGCCAACCTGCTTAATTCAGAGACTGCAGAGAGTGACCAAGCTTCACACTATCATCTTAAGCATGAGCAGTGTCACTGCTCTTGGTGAGAGACTTTCCCATTTCCAGCAAATCAACAGCTCTGTCTTGAGTCTTGCCCACGAATCCCTTCTGTAATCGGGCCCATGTGCCAGCTCTTAGCAAGCACAGAGTGAAGTCAGCTCACCAAAATAGCTGTTTGTTACTCTGGAGCCAAATCAAAACCAAAGTAAATTTTAAGTTCAAAGTTCATTTGCATGACTCCCACAAATGCAGGATACCTTGCTTCTACCATGTCTCTCCTGTTCTCTAGGCTGTGAAAACTGCCAGACCTGTAGCAGAACCGAATGCAGGATTTTGGTCTCAGCTGCAGAAATATGAAGAAGATTTGCAGTCTGCTCTGCTGAGCAAAGGACATAAAAATAGCAATGTGTGAAGATACTTTAAAGAAACTGAAATGACTTGCTACAGACTTTAAAAAAAAGGAAAAAAAAAATCACTTCCTAAATCACCTGTATGTGAAACACTTTATCCCCTGATATATATAATATATATATTATAACTGAGTAGATGGCTCATTAAATTCATTCAGTGAATTTCTGTTGGTAATGTATAGAAACAGGACAGAAAAACAGGGAAAACAGCAGAAATAGAAAATGGTTGGAAGGACTGTAAACAAACCAGAGGAAAGGCATAGAATTTTTAGCAGTTATTTTGCCCTCAATGACACTGAATGTGGTAACGATGTACTGAATGAAAGAAGAGCACCGGAATTTTATTCCTGTTTTTAATTAAACTTCCCAGTAATGCCATTAGAAGACATGATGCCAGACCAAGGAAGTTCTGAATTTCCCTCTCACCAGCTGGATCATAATTTATGTTAATGAGTTGACACAACCTTTGGTGGAAAACTGACAGTGGCTGATGCTTTGTCTCTGCAATTTTCCTTATGTTCAACTAGACCAAAGTACCTTCACAAATTACCCAAAAATCCAGAGGGCAGAATATACAGATGATGGTAAGGAGCTCAGCTCCCACCATGCAGGCTAAGTGCCTTTTCATCTTTTGAAATTATTCTCTAAAACACCAAAGGAATGATTTGAAAACCTGCAGATGATAGTGAAGGGAAGAAGATGAAACTGGCAATCTAGAAGTAATCCCCACTCCTTTTAGCTTTACTTACTAAGCCAAGCAGTGCCCAGTTCATGCCTTAATGTGTCAGTTTACAAGTCAGCTGTTCCTGCATGCAAGCACCACAGCTAAATCATTTCTGCTGAGAAAAAAACAGAAACCTGTTTTCAGGTTGCCCTCCAAAATTATCTTTTGGGCCACCAAGGGAACCTCATGAAACTTCCAGATCAGACTGCTGAGTGTTGAATGGCTAGTTTATCATTAGCCATTCAAAACAGAGTTTTGTCAAACTGTATGAATACATTTGTAATTTTAAAGGGACAAGTTATGGAACCTGAGAACCTGCAGGGTGAAATTCCATTCCACCTTGCTGAAAGCATAAATACGAATTAAATTAGCTCACTGCCATCTGCCTAAGTGCTCACACAAAGTAAACATATGCTCCCAGCAGTGGACTAGTTTAAGGCAGAAATTCTAATGATGGAACATTTACAGAAGATAAAACCACTGGGGAATTACATGAATTAGACAATTCAAATGCAGTAAAAGTTCCCAAAGTTAAAGACTGCTCAAAGTTAAAGTAGTGTTTTTTTAAAAGCTCCTTAATAAAGGAAATAGAAAACCATAGAAATAAAAATTTAGGCTATCATTTTAGTTACCACAAGGCATTTTCGCACCAGATGCTTTCTCCATTCCCAGATGTCTTTTGTTCATCCTGTATTGTTTATCTTCTGTATCTGCATTGCAGCCAGAAAGAAATTTCTTGCACATCTGCAGATTTGAAGGTGAGTGGTTGCTAAAAAAATTTTTGTAGCTTTTATAAACCTTGACCATCATATGTAATAAGAGTTTCAGTATAACATGATTTCCTTATTAGAGGATTCCACTCGTCAAAAAATCTGTTTCAGTCTGTGGAACAAAGTTTATTTCTTGTCAAAAGCTTAAGCTGCTAACAAAACAAGGAAGCTAAACATTAATGAAAACACAACACATTTCTAACTGTGAGGCATATGAACTTGCAGTCAGATACAGCTATCAGTTCCACATGTTTGAGTCAGCTGAAATAGAAACCATTGCTCTTGAGTGTCAGCATATACTGCGCTCTGGTTAAATTTTACCAGGCTTCTCAGCATGCAGAAAACCTTCATGCCACAGGATTTCACATCATGGCATCTTCTGTAGAAAGCTGTTTACATCTGAAAACCGTTCCTATTTACATTGAAAACCATACCTCTTCTTGGTACTGCTCCAAATTAAGGCATAGGATTGCAATTTGGAACCGGAATAAAGAAGCAGTTGACTTCTTTATTTGAGTTCATAACCCACTAATGCTACAGGTGATGCAGAATGGAAGCTCAGACATACTCCTTGTTGCTTATGACAGTCTCAGAGCTCCTGGGGTACATGTGTGGCTGAATAGCTGCCTGGGCTGATGAATATGCATATTTCTTGGGACTGCAAATCAAGAAAAAAAGATACAAAATAATAGGTGTTAGACACATACCCATGGTTTCAGATATTTACTCAGTTAGCTTTGTATCCAACCCACCAATAGCACATCCTTCACAACAGGGCAGAAATTGGAGGCCTCCAGTTCTCATTGTTCTGGTAGTGAAGGGGGAATAGGTGGGGTCCCTGGTGAGCTCCATCTCTCTTGTAACCCCAACCACACTCTGGATTCCTAACTCACATGTGCTCTTCCTCGAGGCATTTCAGTCAAGGACTTCAAGCAGAAGCCCTCAGCACCTTTGTACAAGCTGCAGGTTTTAATACAGGAATCAAGATGACGAAGAAAGAAAACAGAAGTATCTGCACCCAACCTCTTCAACTGTCATTCATCACACTGAACTTCTATTTCATATATCAGTTTTACCTGATTTTCAGGACATTTCAGGACATTTGGTACTTTGTATCAAAGTAAGGTGAGCAAGATCTAAAGTCCAATGTGGCTGATGAAGTATTACCATAAAACAGAAATGGTTTCAGATTAGGCAATGGAGTGTCAGAGGAACACTCACTTACTACATTTTTAAATAATTTTCCCAAGATTAAACACACCAACAATTAATCTGCTTCTTCCTTGCATATTCTCTCATATCCTCTCAAGTTGAGCTACTACAGCCTCCAAGCTATTTGAGTTCTGTTAGACATGGACCTCTGCTATTTCTGCCTATTTCATCCCTCTCCTTCAAAAAGAGGCCTTCTGTATGTGTCAAAATTCAAGACTGAAACAGAAATGCAGGGAAGGTTAAATATTGAGGCCAGAAATCTCCCCTTTTCCTGATCTGATGTGTGACAAGACATTTCCATAAAGAACAAGAAAAAAGCCAAGTTTCTAGTGATCAATTCCATGTGCTTTGAGAAATTCCTTTACACTTTCTGCAAATTGAAGAGTGTTTGAATATTTTAGTCACAGTGAGTACTGCAGAGAAACAGGATTGTAATACATTACAGGGTTCTATATACTTTTCTTTTGGTGCCAGTTTGCTCTTTCACTACACATTTTCACCATCAGCAGTGCCCAGAATTACCAAATACAAGTTAGAGGTGAGTGCTGATGGTGATGCATCATGTACCCTGTCTGGGAGGTACAAGTGTTTGGGACAGCATCCTCTGCCATCACCAGTCTGTGACATACCATAGAACTGTTTGTAATTTACACATATGCATACCAGGGGGTGAGAGACAGACAGAGGAGCACAGATAGAACAGCTGCTACTTCAACTGACAAATCCAAAATTACCTGTAATTCTGATTTTCCTTCCCTCTGCATGAACAGGTCAGTAAGATCCCACCAAGTATGTAAAGGATAGATCCAGCCCAGCCTAAGTACAGAGCTTCTCCTAGTTCATACCTGAAACATGAAAGATTTTATGGAAACAACTTATAACAGGATCACAAAGCCTGTTATGCAAACAAATTCTAATCTGTGTAGAAATCAGCTAACTGAAAGGCACTTCAAAAGTTAAGAGAGAACAGGTCTGGCTTTGAGTCTGCTCAGTAAAACTTATTTGTATAGAGTTGCTCTGCCAAATTAGAGACAGTACAGAGAGTACTAAGCAACATAAAGATAAGTAGCAATAAATAATTGTGTATATTTAACAAATTGTTGATGATAAATAATAATGACATACCTTCTGTGCAATTCACAACATTTATTTTGCCCTTTTATTGGCTGTAAATGTCACTGAAACGATTTTGTGAAACTGAATGATTCAGATCTTACTGTCATATGCTGAGAAAAGGCAGACCACAGACATCAGTTTTCTATGGACACAACATTAAGTCACTTACAAGTAGCTGGTTGTATAGAGCTAGTTTTCAAACTGAGATATCCTAAAGGATATCCAGCACCCTCTGTGGTTGTATGGCTGAAAGGCATTTATAAATGTCACAGGCTGAAAAAAAATAGCTCCCTATTTTACTGTACAAAACTATACCTTTCAGGAAACCCCCTAGACCAGTCCAAGGAATTCAATAATAATGAGTTTGTTCCAAAGACTAGACACAACTGAGTCTGGAAAAGTCTGGCAGGAGTTTCATACAAAGAGGAAAACAAATTTTTATGATCAGAAAAAAAATATATCCACAATCCACCTGTACATCTCTGGTCTGAGATCCCCAATATCAGGACAAAATAAGTGTCATGGACTGCATTGAAGGCATCATGGAACCTGAGATTTGTGCTTTCTTTCCACTTGGAAACACAATTATTTTAAAGTGTCAAAGCTTCTGATTCTGGAATTCTTTGCTAACAGGAGGGTTTCAGGGGTTTACACAGGTTCACAGCTCTCTGTGTTCTCATCACACATGGGAGCCACAAGGTCTCCACTGGTTTAGGTACTTCCAAACACAGAACAGGCAGAGAGTCACTATCAAAAAAACCCAGGAGTACAAATTGCACATTGCCCAGTGCCTACAATAATTCCTGTTCACCTGTCACCTACAGACAAGAATGCTGTAGGTGTCATACCAAAGCAAAATATATAGGAGACATCTGCAAGATAACTTAATTTGCCTTCAGAGCTGTAGGAGAAACTCCTCTAAGAATTAGCAGAGGTCAACTTCACTAATTTGCTGAAGTCAGATCAGAAAAATACAACCTGAAAAACCAGATTTGCCAGTCTCTTAAGAGTGATGATCAATACTGGCATGCAAGTGAATTTAAACCTGTCTCACAGACTCCATGTCCAGCTTTACCAATGATCAAACTTAATTCAACAAGAACTGCTCAGTGAATCAATAGCTTAAATGTGAAGTTTAGATATTAAAAAAAAATATAAAATATTTCTTTAGCTACTGAATGCAAATCTTCTGGTAACTGATTAACAGGCATTTATATTGAAGCCCCAAAGCTATAGCAGGTAACTATAAAACACACCAACTATCCAACTAACCGAAATTCCTTATCAACGGTTGTTTCAGTTCTCTAATGTATTTATTACCCTTCATATAGTTCTCTCAAGGGGATATAAAGCAACAAAAAGTAACTGCACAAATACAATTTCTTTCTAAGCACTTCATTGAAAATACAGGAAAAACTGACAAACAATAAAGGCAGTTGCTTAAAGTACTTTGATTTATCACAAAGCACTTCACCTCTGACTTCCCTGAACTGATTCCTGGGCGGGAACTTACAAAACACTTCAAATATGAACCTAGCAACTAACGATTTATAGTTTACTGATCTATGAATTATATACTTGGTAGAAGTATATTACAGATGTCTCATATTCCACAGACAATATCTTTCCCTCTCCTTTCCCCCCGTCTCTGAAGGAGAGGCCCAGCCACCTCTACCTCTGTTCCTCATTGCTAAACAGGGCACCTAGATAAGGTACCATAAGCTGCCATTTGGTTTTGACAACTGTTACTTTTATATCAGATAAAGAGTAAGGGCTTTTATACCTCGAAACTTGTTTGTATGCAACTGCACTAGCTGATAATCCCACAAATTTTACCTCGTTTTAACTCATAAGGCAAACAAATGTTGAGCTGTTAACATATGTAAGCCAGGCAGCAGATTTCTCTGCAGGCCACTAGCACAAAACTCGAGCTGCTTTGCATGCGATTTTCCCTCACATGTACATCTAAGGTACTTTATTCTAGCCAGAACTTGAGTTTTGTACCTCTTTTGGTCTAAATGCCAAAGCACATTTAAGAATTTTACCTTTTCTTCTTCCTAACATTGAGATGCGCATTTGAGTCTCTCAAGAAAATGCAAACACAGTACAAAACCCCCTCAGATGCAGGGTTGGTATTCCTCACACATCCACTCACTCTTCCAAAGAACTCTCCTCCCTCCCCACCAACAACTCTGAGGTGAAAAGATTCCCTGAATGCAATTTTTCCCTCCTGTAGGACTGGATAATGGGATCCATCCAGGCTCTGAAAATCTGGAGCAGCTGTCTAACAAACGATGGAGTTTGATACATTTAACTTACTTGGTTCCAGCGTAGAGTTGATTAAAAAACTGAGCAGTAACCATTGCAGCATACCAAGAAATAGCCACCATGGAGCAGAGACCTGCCAGAAAAAGTTTAAAAAGCACACAGGTGAATGATTCCTTCAATGGCTGTAACAGATTTAAACCAAGAACAAGTTTATTTCATTTAGTCTAGCTATGAAAGCAATTAAAAGTATCAATAGTGCTCTCATTTCAGCTTCAATATTACCTCCTAAAATAAAAAGAAATCCTCCTGTGACAGTAAACTTCATTTTTCCATCTTCATCACTCAACCCAATGTTTGTGCATTTCATGCCAAGCAGTGAGAATACTGCAGCTACAAATCCCAAAAGGATGGAAGTAATCATCAGGGCACGGCATGCCTGAATGTGAGCTAAGACAGAAAAAGAGAAAACAAATCAGGATCTGTATAGAATCTTGTCTGGGAAAAAAAAAAAAAAAAGTGCTTAAAGGAAGTGACAAAATTAACAGGTGCAGTAATGAGTGAATCTTGTCCAGCTTTTTCATATGGTTCAGAGAAGCCTCCAAACCTGTGTGTTTAGCCTTCAAGTCAAACAGATTTGAGAGTTTAACTATGCCTACACCTTATAAGCTCAGTAAATCCTCTTGTGTCTTTAGTAAATCCTGAAAAACTGCAAGCAAGCTACTCATCCCTTACATTCCTGTGAAAATGCCTAGTGGTACACATGGTCATTTGCAGGAGCAGGAAATAGTCTCCTGCTCACAAGTCCTCTCAATTCCTGACACGTGTACAGATGAGTGCACAGGACACATCTGAAATCCAGGTGATGGTCAAGGTGTGCAAGGCTCTGGCACTACTGAGGAACTGGAGAAATGTGCCAGCTTTGCTGCTTCCAGGGAGGGATAGGAAAGAATTGTGCTCAAGTTAGCAGTGCACTTCAAACTTGGTGTAACAAAGAGGAGGTAAGTGCACCTGAGAGCTGCAGCACTCCTCCTAAGACATTGTCTCGTGGAGAGGTTACAGCTGCTTGTGGGCACATTAAGGAATCTGGTATGCTGGCAATTCTGCATCCTTTAAAAAACTGGTCTTCACATCCTGGTATCAATTGCACAAAAGCCAGGACTGGATTATTAATCAGCCTAAGAAAGAAGGTGAAACGGGGACTTTGGACTCCTTTAAAATGGCACCCTGCATTTGGCAGGCTCCAGGTCAAATGGCACTTCGGCGCCTTTGCTGAGAGATAAACATGCCAAGCATCACAATCTGGCAGGGTCACAACGGCTAACTTTGTTGACTTGATTATCTTTAAGTTCTCTTCCAACCTAAATGATTCTATGACTCTATGATTTTAATCATACATCAGAAGGGTCAGACCTGATCTCAGCTGGACACTCACATCGTTGATACCAGCATTCAGGCTCTTGCTCCCTGACCATCCCCATGTCCTCCACGATAACCTAGTCTGGTTCTGTAGCAAGTGAGCTCCAGACAACAAAAATCAGACAGAGACAGGAGGCAAAGTGGTACTCACACTCCAACTCAGCCTAATGTGGCTTAAGAGTACTGGTCCTACAAGCTTAAGAGTTACCAAAATAGCAATAAGCACTCATGAGATAAATATACAGAATTAAAGGCTAAAATAATTTGAGGAGTTAATGCTTTGTTAAGCTCTAATTTTAATTTTTTTGTGGAAAAAAATGAAGACAGTAGTAAAAGTGGAAAGACCCCTCAAAACACCACTGACACTTCAAGGTTTTTGCCTGCAGAAGATACTGTTAAGGTAAGTACTCAACAACACTGCTTTCAGGCTTGGGATCTTACACCATGGCAATCACCCAGCGGGGTCCAACAACATTTCACATTTCAGGTCCTGGGGACTCCTGCAGTGTTACATGGGACTCCCCATCTCTTTCCAGGACAAGCATAGCCTTGCTTGCAATCCAATGGGAAAGGGATTTCATACAACTGTGCCACAATACCATAAGCTCAACAACCTTAACCGTGCACCTGAGCTCACAATTCAGAAAACACAATTTTTAATTTTAAACTTAGCTTATTTAACAAAATACAAAGTCAGTTCATTTTATTAGTCACACCAATTGTAAGAAATTATCCTCAAATCCTGTCATTGGAAAAAACACCTATGGAACCTTAAAAAGAAGAGCAGGGGGGGATGGAGTTTAAAAAGCTTTGGCAACTAGTTATACTGGATGTTTGATTTAGTTGTGACTAGACAGAGTCACAGTATGGAGTATACATATATATATATACAGTATAGTATACTATTTGGAGTAGCCAATCATGGTTTCAGTCTTGTGCAATATTGCATTTAAAAAGCTCCTCAATTCAAATATTTGTCATTTAGACTAATGGTGAACTCAAAAGCATTAAATTGGTTTCAAAGAACCAAGTCTGACTTTTCCCATACATAAAGCAAAATCCAGAAGTGTTCCACACTGCTCAGTTGCCAGTAAGGAAACTTGCATGGAAAATCTTCATTGTCTGATGAGACATCATTCTGATGAGAGGTAACAAAGACACTTTTGTTTTTTCTTTTTGCCCTCCCTCCAGTCCCTGGCATCCTCGCAGCCGTTTCAGCTAAGTTTCTAAACAGGAATTTGAAACACACCTAAACTGTCCATGGTAATTTTTAATCCGCCTTGGCTCATATCTGCAAGCGCTATGGATGTTTCTCAGAGGTCCCACTGTCTGTTGAGCCTGTGTTTTTACCAAATCCATTTTCTTCCTCTTTCCTGCTTTGCCCAGCCGTCCTTTCAACTGTTGCTACCATCTAGTGAATTCTGATTTTTCTTTTTCAGCTTTCCTTTCTGAAAGTGTTTTATCTTCACAGTTTCGCAAGCTGTTTTTCCCTTCCCCTTCCCTTTACCCCTCAACTGTACTGCCATGTTCTCAACTACAGGACTGATCTCCTCTTCAACAGCTCAAACCTAATCTTCACAACTTCACTTCAGAGCTTGTTCCAGTCATTTACTTTCTGGCCCCACTTTTCTCCTGCCTGCTGGCTCTGTGTTACCTGTAGCTCTCAGGAGCCCTGCTGTTGCTTGCCTTCTGTTGTGTTTGCTTTGACACGGTGCTGTTTTCTGACCCCCACCAGGTTCTTTCAAACCCACTTTTCTCTGCAGATGCTGATTTCTTGCAGGCCCATGGCCCAAATCTGCACATACTCTCAGAGGCAACACTCCATGTAAACACATCAGTGATGAGATGCTGCCTGCAGTCAGTGGCAGTAAGCTACAAACCAGCCCTTGGAGTGGTCTTTACAAGAACCAAATAAAATCACAGAATCATTAAGGCTGACAAAGATCTCTCAGATCATCAAGTCCAGCTACTAACCCAGCAGTGCTGGTGCACACTGACATCAGTGCTCTGCAGAGGATAATGTCTGATGGAATGATCCTGCTGTAACTGAGGCTAAGATGTTTAAATAGGGTTATGTTCCTCTTCAGACACACATACACTAAAAGCAATTTTTACAGAAGACTGAAAAGCACAGATTATTCCCTAAATACTGGACACATTTTCAGAGAATTGCTATGTGAGTGTTAGAGCTGATCAACAACAAGCCTTTACTTAAACTGAGGGAGAAAGTGAATTGAACACCTCATTCCCACTAATCCTATATTACACATTCTTCAGATTAGGAGTATCCTCCTATTTAGTTTAGCCACCTCTTAGGGCAGATTCAGCTAGAAGGAAGGCATTTTTATTCCAAATAAGTATCTACATACTGAATTATTCAAGATTAATAAAAAATAGCTTTACTGTCTATAGACACTATCCACAGAATATTGCCTAGTTGGGCATTTGAGGACAACCACAAGACTGATACAAAGAAGTAGAGCCAGCAGATCTAAATTTCTTGATATTTAAAACCACATCCAAGTAGACTTTAGTTAACAAACCTTGAGAGTAGTTAGCATTAGTTAACAAACTTAATCATATATTCATTTATATCATATACTCCTTCTATAATATGTTAAAAAGTATGTATAACATATAATCATGTATTTCTTGGATTATCTACAATTTTCAGTCTCAACTCACTAAAACCACTAGCACTTCTCAGCTAAAAACAGTATTTCCTACTACATTAAAGAACTCCAGCTACAGTACATTAGCTATGAAGTACTGCAAAAGAAGGTCTATACAATAATTCCAAATAAATAAATAGTTAAAAAAAGTCTCCTACTAAGACATCCCATGAGATGCTAGAGAAGAGATTACAACCCACTTTAAATGCCTGTAAAACGCTTGATCAACCGACTTAATTTGCCGTATTTTATAGCCTTTCCTAACATGCTTGACACATTCTGCTGCTTGAGAGATTTTTATTACTTCAGCCAACAAAGTCCTCCTTGGCCAGTTATTTTCCAGTATTGCCAGATTACCAACACAAAAGCCTTTCTGTTTTTTGCCAATAAGATTTTAAGCAATATAACCAAGGCTGCGTAAAGTCACCTACCAGGCAGTGCAAGCATAGAGTCAAAATCCCTGCAGTTGGATATTCCAGTGCTGTCTTCTGCACAGCTCTTCCACAGGTTTTCAAACAATGTAGATGTTGTGATCACAGAACCATGGATACTGGAGACTTTCCAGTAATTATTTGGCAAAGTAGCTCCAATAACTGCCAGCCCACCCAAGCACAAAAGAAAGCCAACAATTTCCAACGCAGCAGTCATGCTTGTGAGTAGTAACAGTTAAATATCCTTATAATTAGATTACAATCAAGTGAAGCCTTTCAGAAGCCTCCTTGCTGTTTTATCTCTGGGTTTCACTCCAAAATGAGTCTACCTTTGCTCTTTGCTCTTTCCCCATAGATAAGGCTTACTGGGCATGACAATAAGAAGTGGGAGCAGTTCATGATAAAGATATTAATGTGTAAAAAAAGTGACAATATTAATTCTTTTTCTAATAGGAAGTGAAAAATGAGCCTATTCTTTCTCTCAGCCTAGAAAGTCCAGTCAGTATTTCTACAAAATGACTTGTAAGAATGATAGCATAGGCAAATATTTTATTGCTGTCTCTTTTCTGATGTCAACTAAATTTTACACTAAATTAAAATTGCTTGTAATTTTATTATTGCAGTCAAATAAAAAAAGCTTTTGTGTAATGTTCTCTTGAGGATTCAAACATAAAACAGCTTGAGAACAGAAGCTTTATACTTCTGCTAGAAAATTAGCACAGTTTTTGGAGTTATGGTCGTAAGTAATCCACAACTGTACTGCCAGCTTCTTTCAGGAAGGTTAAGTTTATGGATGAGTGTTTTCCATTAATATTTTACTGTCTATTGATCTATAGCTAAACACATTCAGTCTTAAAAACAGTCCCACTTACACTGTACAATTGTACAATGTATTACAATTGTAATAACATATGTGTCATGGAATTGAAATATAAAGAAATGGAGGAGCTAGTGTGACAGACCTGCCTCAAAAGAAATGAAATTATAAAGAAAAACAGCTATAAGAAAAATAATACATATCAGCAAATTGCATCTGTTTGTTAGAATACCTTAGGATTAAAATAAAAAGCTATTCTAGGCAAAGTATATGTTAAACTCAGTTTAGTTACTTCTGCTCATGGCTAGACAGAATGGTAGACTCAATTCACATCACCCACTCATGTTAATACTTTAAAATACTTGTGGATCCAAATGAGGTTAACCATCCCCTGCAGTGATAACCTGCTCTTATCTCCAGGAAATGGAGTCAGAGTTTCTTCATAAAATAATTCTGCTATGATGCAACATGGTAACAGATCCACAGCATTTATGTAAACACTACCAGAAGGATTACCCTTTGAGAGAGCCACAATTTGTCCCTAATAGGTATTGTTGTTTTTCATCAAAATTCACTGGTCACTTTGAGCTGATGCTGTAGGTTAGTAGGTTCAGCTGCCAAAGGGTATTACAGTGCCACTATGACATTTTGGCTCCCACAGCAGTCAATAGGATCATGGCCATTGATTTAAACCAGACCAGGTTTGGCAGTGTGATCATGTGCAGCTCTAAACTTGCAATCTTTTAAGGAAACCAGATAGTGTGTGGTAAGAATTGATCTCAGGTGACTCTTACAGAATTTCCTCCTTCTGCTAAGCTACTGCAACTTGAAAAATGATGGCATAGTAAAATGAACATACTGTACCAGTATCCTGGAGTATCTGCACTTCATTAAAAGCCCTTCAAAGAGTTTCCAGCTAATTTACCCATACACTGGTGCTACACTGGTGATCTCAGCAATCACTTCTGCTGAGAGGACTTTCAAAGGTGAGATGGTTGGGACCTTGAATCAAGTGTCCCTGGTTGTTATACTGCTGCCAAGGATAGAAATAAAAAATTAAGAGTATCATTTTTAAAAAATCTCTTCCTAGTTAAGAAATGTATTTCAACAGACAGTCATAAAGCCCACATATAAACAGAAAAGATTGAACTACAGACCTGAAGTGCATGGGTTTTCCTATACAGCACCAGGCATTTTAGTAATTCCCTTCAGGAAATCAGCCTCCAGTGTGTTAAAGAACATAAGGCTATTCTTCACTGAATTTTGTAAACTGTGGCTTGTCAAGCAATGGGAATAACAGCCAGTACTGCTCTGCATCAGCAGGGCTTAAGAGTTGGTGCTGACAGCTTCACATCAGCACCTTCCACAGCTTGGGAGCTTTCCTTTGGGCTTGTGCTAACCCAGTTGGTTGAACTGAACACTGTCATTGTTGGACTCATCCTATCACTGTAATTCCCACAAACTTAAAGCATCCTGGTATCTACACAGAGGAGGCCCTGGGGAGGAGGCTGAATGGGTACCAGGATGATGTGAAAAGCTGGCATTGCCTCTGATGCAATGAGCAATGCTTTTAAAATTCTTGGAAGCCTCCTTTTGAGGCTACAAAATCTGGCCTCATTACGGGATACTGATACTTATTCTTTAACTGGTATCCTCATTATGAAGGCAGATGAGGCCACCAAAGCGAGGGCCCTGCAGAAGAACCATGAACATGCTGAATCTTGAGAGTTAAATTCTCACCCTTTAGAGATCTGCCTTTGCAGTTAGGCAGCTCTTACTCCAGGGAAGTCCACATCTGTGTCAAGGAAAACAAGATTCATAGTCTGTGACACATGGTACTTTTAGGGTTTAAGCACTGCACCTTCAGGGTAAATCTGCTGGAAGAGTCCAGACAAATAGCAATGACAGCAAACAGGAACCTGATTATAAAGTACAGTAGACTTGAAGAAATTATATTAACATCACTCATAAAGTGACTGCACAAAGCAGAAAGTTGTAAAAGAATAAATGCAAGGTTCTTTTTAAGACAGAAAGCTTAACAAAGTACCATTTCCAAAAGCTATAATGAGTCTACTGTTTCTACACTCAGGTTGCTGAGGAAAGAACTTCAGTGTCAATCCCTCAGTCCTTTACTGTAAAGACAGTGCTTACAGAAAGATATTTTTTAAATACAGAATGATACAAAAAAATACTTTCCAGCCCCTACTGAGATATTTATTCTCTTTCTAGCTGCACATAAACTACCCTGCTAGCATGGTCGACTCTAGACAACACAGAAGCATCCATCACACAGGTATATTTTAATCTAAGCTCACCACCTCTGAGAAATTCCAGAAAAAATACCCAGGTACAAAGGTTTAGCACAAAGTATCAAACCAGTTCTGGAATATTTAATAATTCCTGTCTCACACCAAAGCACAAACAAACATCAGTGCTCATGGAACTATGATCTGCTTGTATTGAAGAACTAGACTGAGTGAACAGATGCTATTTCTTCCAAAACCGTTTTTTAAAAAAATCTCAGATTAACTGTATATCACACATACCTCTATGTCAACACATCAGAGAGGGCAGCAAAGCCACAGCAGTGACTGAGCTGAACTGCAGGGTGAAACATTGGTTTCATGGTGGCCCTTTAACCTGTCTACAACCACAACAGGATTTGGCCATACTGGACCTAGATCCTCTGGGACAGCCTCACTCTGTGCCCTCCAACCTCCTAACACGCTGTCCAGAAAGAAGGAATAAATCCTTGGATTTTATAAACATTTCCCTTGACCACTTACGGTCTGAACTCAGCATGTAGAGAAATTTCTTGCACTGTACTGATCCAACACCAGTTGTTGCACAGTCCATCCAAAGACCTTCAGAAACCCAGTCTGCAGTAACCAGCTCTGTCGTGGTGTCCAAAACTTTCCATCTGCTGGACATGGTAGTAACAAGTAATGTGGTGAATCCTGCTAAAGCCAGCAGGAATGCACAGATCTGTAGACAGGATGATGCCATTCTGACAGAAGTTTTCTTCAAAGAGATTTCCCAAAATTTCTGGTACTAGAAACCTGTTGAAACAGTTTATACACACACAGTGTATGGAGTTACCTTTACACAAGCCTGACCTTTGCAAAAACATTAAAAAAATGCCTACCTACAAAGTAATGTATCGCACAAGGGAACTGTAGAGCTGGAACCTAAATCCCATTAAGTAACTGGAATAATTGAATATTCTGTACATTATTTTCTTAGGAAATTTTTTATTATTGTACAAATTTACCACAAAAAAATGCAAACAGAGCAAGACCACAGGACCCAAACGGAGAATTCTCTAATTTTAATTTGTAATGTTTCATCCATTCATTACACGTTTGCTGACTCAAAATTCATTTAAAAATGAAAACTATCAAATGCTTTAGTAAATTATTAATCTCCCAATTACAATATCTACCAATACAAATTTAAATCAAGATAAATTGTGATACTCACGTTTATGCTATACTTCTAACCTGTTTCCTCTGCCTTCCTGAGATACTTGTGTCAGCACTTTGTGACAACCGATTCGATCACCCAAGTGAAAGTTTTGTACTCTTTAGGACCTTTGTCCCATTCTAAAAATCAAGGACCCAGGACCAAAGCTCTGTCCCACTGTTGCACAAAGATCTGGCATGGCTTTTCACTATAGCAAAGTGCCAGTGGAAGGGAAAATTACCAGATATTTATGTAAATTAGTACCAAATATACTCAGATTAACCTGCATATAATTTGCTTTGTCAGGACCACTGAGCTGCCCAAGCACCATCAGAGTGCAGAGCAATGCAGAAACATGGCTGCAACATACACAGTGGTTGTTTTACCTGAAATTTTTTATGCATTTTTCTAGGATGCTTTTTAAAGAAGAAATATGCAGCTGGGCACCTGTCCAGTGGATGACATTAACAAAGCAAACTGTTTGTGCCTGCAGCCACGGCTCAAAGCAGGACAGACCTCCCAGGCTCCCAGCCGAAGGAGGTCTGGCAGCCTTGGACAGCTCTGCAGCCACTTTGCTGCTGCAGTTCCTCCTCTCTTTTTCTTTCTCTTTCTCAAGGAGCCACCCTAACTCACCCCTTGAGTGGGACCCCTTGTCCCATGAGTGTCTCCACAGCAAAACAGGCATCCAGGAAGGTGCAGGCACATCCATCCCCTTTCAACCCCTTCCATGGACACCTTACACTACAGGACCTGATTGTACCAGCTGTCACACAGTGTCATGTTTATAAGATTGAGGTGATGGCACAGCTGATAGCAAATATGCATTGCAACTGTCCAAAGGAGAATGACTATAAACCAAACACGAATAAATACACAAAGTCCAGAGCATCATCCCTCACAAAGTACACACATAGGCTATATGCAAGTAAGAGCTGTAATGTGATAAAAACAAACCCTGGGGGAGCAAAAAGGATCACTGTAACATTAAAAACAGCACAGATAAAATGTATGTGGCTTGAACACAGCGCAGGAAGGGTTGACAAAGAAAAACATTGAAGTCACTTAAATAAACAAATTACTCCTGATAAGGTCTTTGGAAGTAAAATTGACTGGTGAAAGTGTCTAAAATGGAAAGTTAAAAATCTCTTTTACTTCTTTATCATTTTGTTACATAGAAAAACAGAGAAAGAGCATTGATTACAAGTTTCTTTTGTATATAGACATTTCTAACATCAGCAATATATGTCTTTGTACCCACTAATCACTTCTCAGTTCCGACACATTCTGAGGCTGACCCATGGCCAGCAGCACAATCACAAAAAGATAAAATGCCAATTTAAATACGGTACTAAGCCAGTTAGAGCAGTTTCCCACCACATTTCACAGAGGTTTTCTCTGGTCAGTGCCTGACCTTGGGGTGAGAAGGCTGGTTAGTGGGGGAAAAAAAAGGAAAGAAAAAGAAAAAAAAAAAAAAAAAAGGAACAATGTTAATTAATTTCCAACGCTTCCAAAGAATATGACTTTGTAACTTTGCTCCTGAAGTTGTCATAACATCTTAATAACCTAATCAGTCTTATAGCCACTTGCAATTGCAATATGCAGATCACTCTCAACTTGCTATTAACTTAGCCTTCACACAACATACTACAAAATAACTTGGGTTGGAAGGGGCCACACGGATGCCATTTTCCCACTAAAGCAGAGTTTCATTGATGGGTCAGGTCACCCAAGCCTTATCCAGTCACCACAGAGCAGTCTCCAGAGCTGGAATTTGCACAACACCCTCCTGTGGGGCATGTTCCTCGCACCCGTGCAGAACTTTTCCTGCTGCAATACGTGACTGCTGCCTCTCATTGTCCACGTGCACCCTTGAGATAAACCACTGTTTATTCTGCTACTGGATTTTGGCAGCTCTGCACTCTGTCTGGTGGCCCAGGTGTGACTGACATCGATGTCCCATGAGTGTCTCCACAGCAAAACAGGCAATCAGGAAGGTGCACACAACTTCTTCAGATTTACAAGCTACTTTCAAAACAAACATCTGTTTCTTCTCCCATTTAATTTCAGGAGGCTGGCGGTGTGTACAGCAGGCTGTTCTCTGCTAACACAGCTCTCCAGCCCTGCAGAGCTTTGCTGGCATGAAGATGGTGCTGGAAAGAGCAGCACAGTTCCAGAGAGCAGGAGCAGGGGGCAATTGTGGCACCTGCTCAAGCATGTGTGGGTAACTACAGAATCATAGAGTCACCAAGGTTGGAAGAGACCTTTCAGATCATCCAGTCCAACTGTCCACCCAGCACTGCTACTGTACCCCTAAGCTACTAGACCACATCACCCAGCACCAGGTCCAGATGCCTTTTGAGCACCTGTACCACCACCACCCTGGCAACCTGTTCTGATGTCTGACCTCCTGAACAGAAAAAATTATGTTTCTAATATTTAATCTGAATGTTCCACCTCAGTTTAAAGCCATTTCCTCTGGTCCTCTCACCGCAGACACTGCAGAAGAGACCGGCCCCATCTCATTACAGCCTCCTGCCAGGGAGCTGTACACAGCAAGGAGGTCCCTCCTGAGCTCCTGGAGACCCAACAGCCCCCACTCCCTCAGCCACTCCTCATAAGACAAGTTTTCTAAACCTCTCACAAGCCTTGGTGCCCTTCACTGGACAGGCTCCAGCACCTCAATGTCCTTTTTAAAACGAGGGGCCCAAAACTGCATGCAGAACTTGAGGTGTGGCTTCACCCATGCCAAGGACAGGGGATGATCGCTTCCCTGGTCCTGCTGGCTAAACTATTCTTGATACAGATACAGGGAAGAACCTGGAAGGATGGGAGGGATGGGAATCTGGTCATCCAGCAGCCCTTTGCTGGAGCAGCCAGGTGGTGAGGTGAGGTGGGGTGGGGTGAGGTGACGTGGGGCAGGGTGGAGGAGCCCAGGGAGGGAAGGTGCCAAGGTGTGGCAAGGTGATGTGGAGCCACACAGGGAGCAAAGCAATGCTGAGGCAGCAGCTCCAGCCTCCACCTCACCTCCAGGGCTGCTGTGGGCTAGGAGGAAAAAGGCTCTGCCTATTCCAAAAGGCTTCTGGAGAGCAGTACAATAAATCAGCCCCCCAGAGAGACCTTGAGAAATCAGAGGGCTGGGCAATCATCAGCTGTGTGAAATTTCTTTTGAAAGTGCTGGATTCTGCACCTGGGATGGTACAACCCCAGTGTACCTACAAAGTGGGAAACAAGACCCTGGAAAGCAGTGCCAAGGAAAAGGACCTGGAGGTCCTGCTTAGTGGCAAGTTGAATATGAATCAGCAGTACCATGGCAACCAGGAGGGCCAGCTGTGTCCTGGGGGGCAGCAGCACAGCATCGCCAGTCGGGCCAGAGTGGGAATGTTCCAGTCTGCTCTGCTCAGAGATGGCTTCACCTTGAGTCCTGGTGGGGGGAGTTCTGGACACCACAATAGAAAAATCACATCAAGCTATTTGAGAGTGTCCAAAGGAGGGCCACAAGAATGGAAAAGAGCCTTGAGAAGCCAAATGAGAAGAGGCAGAGGACACTTGGTCTGTTCAGCCTGGAGAAGACTGAGGAGAGACCTCATTGCAGTCTGCGACTTCCTCTTCGGAGGGGCAGGCACTGAGCTGTGGTGCCTGGTGGCAGGACCAGAGGGAATGGCCTGAAGCTGTGTCAGGGCAGGTTTAGATTGGATATTAGGGAAAGGTTCTTCATTGAGAGGGTGGTTGGTCACTGGGATAGGCTCTCCAAGGAAGTGGACACATTACCACGCCTATCAGGGTTCAAGGAGCATTTGGACAACACTCAGGGATACATTGTGGGATTCTTAGGGCTGGTCCTGTGCGGAGCTAGTAGTTGGACTCGATGGCTCACGTTGACCCTTGTGGGTCTCGTGCAATTCAGCACATTTTGTGATTCTGTGAGGTCTCGGCAGCCCATGGCTTCACGGCACCAGCGCTGCTGACCAAGGGGGCCGCGGCGGTGAAGGCGCTGCCACGCTCATCATGGCGGCACAGCAGGCCCCACCCACCCGATATGGCGGCCC